CCTTGAACTCGGAGATCTGGTCATCAGTCAATTGATCCGCCATTTCTTCTTCGGCTTAAATTTCTTGATTTTTTGTGGGATTTTGATTTGAGGAAATGAGAGAGATGGCTCTTCTTGGCACTCGGAAACAAATGAAGTCAGCACAGCAAAATATAAATACAGATTATTCAATGGCAGATAAAAATAGTAGAAAGTGATAATCCGATAATTATTTTGATTTTTAATTTGTTTTTTGTTGTAATAAATATTTATTTCGTTATCATTCGGCGCGATGTGTCCGGACGTGACAGGTTTTATCTACTCTCTTGATCCGTCTTTACCGCTTTGCCCCTCCTCCCCATTCTCTATTCAATGGCTTAGCTATTTTTTTGTTTCAATTTCATCCTTCAAAATTTTATTTTGATAATTATATGGGGTAATAGTTATATTTTTAGTGATACTTAATAAAAACATTTGTCGACCAAATCATAATTTCGATAATTAGATTACGTTCAAGAAATTTTCCCTCTTTCATTGTGTTTGAAAGCTTATTGCAACTCTGTAATTTTGTCTTTCATGATAAATTGAGTACCTAAAAACATTAAGTTACTTATAGTTGTCGACAAAATATAACTATTTAGTAGAGTCAAACATGTTTAAATCATATATAATTTTAAATTAGTAATATACTGAAAAAAAACCAATTGTCATGTTACTGAGCTACGCAAGACGTATACAGATGGTTGATTCTACATCTAAAATCAAATCAATTATTATTATTAGAGAAAAAATGTGTAATAAGGCCAAGGCACAGAGGTTGCTAAATCACGAAAGAGAGGATGAATATGCTACCGTTGCCAACCAACTCGTGGAGAGAGAGGTAGCATATGAGGCTACGGCCTCCCATTTGTTGAGTTGGATGAGACCTTGGAGGAAAGAGGTTAACACGGATAAGTTGGGTTCATGATGTAAGAAGGCAACATTCGCACAACGACCATTGCAATGATCGAGACACTAGATTGTTGTCATTAATCTAGGGTTAATGCCTCTTAAAGAGTAATACATGTTTGCAAAGGTAGGCTCGAGTTAAGATTCTGCTCATGAGCAAAATAATGTAAGCTTGCATGACTATTAGACCAACTAATAGAATAGCTAGAGTTGAAAGTTACCCATAGTGATTCATAAAAGTTTATAGGAAAGAGAAAATTGGTATTATGTATAAATTAAGCAACTCTCATCATATTTTGTTATGATTTAAGTACACACTATCATGTTTGCACAGGTGAATTTTTTATTACATGAGTGGGATTGATAATGGGAATGGCATGGATCAAATATCCTCCTCCAATGTGGGAACTCGGTGCCAGTAGATCCAACTGATCTAGCTACACAAGTGACTCTTATTTGCTCTAATTTTTTTTTAAATAAATCGATCCTAGCCATTTATATGAAAATGCTTATGAGGAATATTATCGTATATTTATATTTTCTTCGCGATTATCCTCTCAAGAGAAGATGTCATTATTTCATTCAAAATTGGGGTGTTAACGCCCTCTTATTTTATAACCAAATAGGTAAATATTAACAAATTCAAAGAAAATCTTGCAACAAAACTAGCGGGGCCCTCAAGTATAGAGATTGAAAATGAAATAGGAAATAAAAAACCTTGAGAATATTTACTCATTCGTATTTTAATACACAACTCATAATTTAGGTCTACAGAGATAATATAAATTATTTTCTATTGTGTTCTAAAACATGAATAATTATTCAATTATTCAACATTAAAATCATAAATTAAAATTTTTGGTCCTCTTAGAGTCAAAACTCTTCCTAAATCCTTTCCAATTTTGTCCGATGACTTGCCTAAAAAGTCAAACTTCCATTGTAATAAAATAGTTATGCGGAAGTATTATTAGGTAAATAAGATTTAATTTTATTATTAGCTATAGAGTAGTTATTTATAAATAAATTAAAAAATCACGTGTTTATTCTTTGAATAACATTTTTTATTTAAGTTTGTAAATATTTTCCCTTTAACAATGTGAAGAGAACTTTTTTCTTTATATACAAGGGGAGCCATCAAATTCAAGATTGTTTAAAAAAAAAAAAATCAATTAAGTTGTGCTTTTTTTTATTAATTGTACTTTAACCAAAAATAAGAAAAAATTTGATGAAAATTATGAAGAACAATTGGAAATTGAGCTGGGCTTGGGGCATGGCATCCATGGTCAATTGGGCTTAACACACTTGGGCCGTGAGGTCTGATTTAGGCTTTGTTTAGGGAAGAATTCAAAAGTAAGGTATTA